AAAAAAAAAAAAAAAAAAAAAGAAAGAAAGAAAAAAAAAGAAAAAAGGAAAGTGTCTGGTCAATATTCAACTAAATGTACCACTTGGATCCCCTTCTAGCCACTGGGCATAGTCAGTCTGCTGGATGGTGTGTGACTGCCCCACCTGCGTGGCAACACACAGCAAGGCAAACATATGCCCCGCCCCTCGGAAGAGGCTGTGTTCCAAGCCAGGGAAGAATGAGACAGTAGCTCTTCCAACAAGTTCAGTTCCTTCTGACCCCAGAGAGCATAGCCCCCTGTGATCACAGGACACCACGAGGTCTGATCAAAGGATGGGCCCACCTGTGGAGGTCTCCAGGTTGCAGGTCACCACAGCGTACCCAGAGCATCAGGTTAACAGTCGACCAGGTCGTGTGTCTCTCCACTCACTAGGGTGCATTTGGCTTCCTTACAACTGGAGACAGAGAAACAGCTAAGTAGGGAAGGGAGGAAGTTGTGGGTGCTCCTCCAGGCTCCCCGACTTGTGCAGGAGACTGAATCCAGGGCCTTATGCACAAGCCGATCACTGAGTCCCAACCCCCTCCACGGCAGCTTGGGTTCCCCTTTTGTGGTTTGCCCTACCCAGTTTTGTTGCCTTTGTCTTCGCAGTCCATACCAGAGACTCCCTTCAAAGTTCTCCTTTGGGGCTACCAAGGCTCCTTTGCCCCCAGGCACCAGGAGGTAAAAGTGTCTGGGAACTAACATCCGCCCACCCTGGGAAGGCTCTTAACCAGGGACCCAGTGGGAGTATGAAAGGCCAGCTCCCTTGCAACAAGTCAGGACAAACCCCAAGGTGTGGTTGACACTCCAAAGCTCCCTGTGGGATCAGGCTGCAGCTCCGATCCCCTTGCTCGCTCTGCCTTCCCCTCCCTCCCTGGCATCTCCTGTTCAGTTTCCAGTCTCTCCTGGGAGCGGTTCCTTAACAGAATCTGCACACTCTTCAAGGACTACTTAAGACACGCGGAGCTGTCTAAGAAATGGACTCTGGGTTAGTGAGATTTTGGAAACGGAGCACACTGGCCAGGAGACAGCAGAACTCTGCTACTCAGGGTAAGTGGGCGTCAT